TCTTTGTGTTCATTCGATCATTGTATCAATAATACTAGCAGAGTATTTTCCACACCACCAATGAACAAACCTACGACAATTTTATTTGTTTGGGATATTTTTTCTTATTTTTGTAAACAGCCATATTTATTTACTAATATTATGCAACCGAATTTCGTGAAAAAAATATTAATAAAGAAACAAAAAACTAAATTCGAAAAAAACAAAAAAATTATGAAAAAAGGTCAAAAAATTAAGTTGGCGTAGCGTTAATTGAAGGTATCGATTTTCACAAAAAATACATGAATATCATGGTAGTGAGAACGGTCGTCATGATATTCGACAAAATCAAAAATATTCCAAAAATTCAATTAAATTTGAACTCTTAATCAAATTTTATACGGTAAGTAAAATATTATCTATACAAACAATTTAAATATCACAATAAAGAATATTGGAGTATTAATAAAAAAAAACAGAAAGCTCTTTCTAGCCATCCCGAGCAGACTATTCAGATTTTAGACTTTCATTACAATATACGCTCGTAAGGCGAGCCAATTGTAATTTCAAATGTAAGAAAGCTTTAAAGAGTGGGTGATTTCAAGAAAGCTTTCGGTAAAAACCTGCAGCATATGTAGGAAATTTCATCTTTTTTCTAATACAATATGTTTTGTAAAAGTCGTGCCAATAGTGTAGTATCAAATAGTCCAAACTAATATTATATATGCGAAAGTAACTCTATCTGTTACGTTTTCACTTCTAAACCGCTGAACCAAATTTGATGAATTTTGGTATAGAGATAGTAGGGATCTAGGAGAAGGACATAGGCTACATTTTGTCACAAAAATAAATCTGTGAGGGTGAAATAGAGGATGAAATTTGACCGGAGAACTAATAATTTCTCAAGTAAATACTACGGTAGGCTACTTGAAGTATTCTATGCAGACGAAGTCCTAGGTACCAGCTACTAAGTCTATAAATCACACTGATAACAATCCTCGAAATAATTTTTAAAAACTTGGAGACAATATCAACAAATCCATCGACATAGAACAATGCGCATAAAAAATGTTGTAACAAATAAAAGAGCTATTTATCAAAAAGAGAAAATATCATAAAATTGTTCGTGTCTTTAGAGCCAAGGTACCAGTACCAAGGATAGGATGTGCTCCGATAAATAAAATTTGTATTACAAAACAAAACAATAAACAATTTTCGAACGCCATAAATAAATTGGTTTTTCACACATGAACGCAGGCAAGATAAGGCGAGATACGAAACATTACTGTATTGCGACATCAGTAAAAATGCCCGAAGTAACGCTACGCCCCTTGCGCTACTTCTACCTCTATAAATCTGCCCTGAAGGCTCTCAGTCACTAGAGAAACGCACTTCTGGATTGTTCCAGTAACAGTTACAAGAATATAACTGATACTTCTGGCCCTGCTGCATAGTGTAAAGCAACATCATATAAAATATTCTAAAGAATTGTAAATGTATGCTGTACTTTTCGAGATCAAATTTGCAACTCCAAAAACATTAAGTTACCCGAAACAAAATTTACAACCTCATAATGGCATTATAGCGAACACAGCTGTCGCTAAAAAACCTTTTTGTTTTATAATGTCTTAATTTTTAACCTTCTTTGTTTTTGTATTCAAATTCCAAATAACATAATATTAAACATAAACAAGGCCTTTCGATTAAAAATATGTTGTTAGTCTATGGTTTAGCCATTGCAATTGGACACGTTATTTAATAAAATGAAAACTCGTATGTACATTTGTTTGTTTTTTTTTATTATGTCAAGGGACGGGACGAACAAATCGTGCACCTGATGGTAAGCTACACACCTGCCCATAACAGTTGAAGTGCCACTCAGAGCTTTAAATCGCAAAGATCTGAGGTGCACTGCCACTGTGTCCGTCACCCTGAAACATAAATTGATAAATTCCATCTGCCTGTTATTTCACCAACAACTTTACCCTTCTAAACCGAAACGAAGTAATGCTAACATTACTGCTTGGCGGCAGACATAGGTAAGGTGGCAGTACTTCCCTGGACGAACTTTCTCACAAAGAGCTCTACTGCTACTTCTTGTTTAGTCATACCTACCGCCCGACACATATTTTTAGAATATAATTTTAAAAAATAATTATGCAGGAAACTATAATCATTTTACTAGTACATAATTACTTATTAAAATAAGTGTGCATTGTCGACCTAACTAAACTTTTCACACGGTTTTGGCTAGCTAATTTTGATCAATTGTAAAAAAGTACTTTGCATTTTTCGATTTTTTTATTCTCAAGTATAATTTATTTAGAGCATATTGTCCCTTTCATTATAATTAGAATAAAGTTATTTAAATAGTACTTATCTAAATTTCCCATTCTATGTTGTCATATAAATAAATCATTGTAAGTTATAGAAGTTGCGTCCATTATTGTTTTTAGAGGCGATATATTTATTTCCCCCTGAAAAATGCAAGTATTTGTAAATGAAAACTATTTGGAAGTAATAAAAACACACCAAATTACACCTTACCTCTCACGAAATAATTCTAGTGATAAAGTGGCCAGAATCCTGAATAAATTATTGTAAGCGGCCTGAATTAACTGCCCGTAAATGTATTATGAACACAACAATTGTTTCATATTTCTTTACATTCATCTTGTCAATGTTCCTAGATTAGTAACTCACGTTTTTTAAAATAATATATTGCCTCAATAGCAGCTACTGTTACAGAACTAGTTGAAGGTTCCTTGTTCCCAATATTTGGCGACGACGGATCAATGCTTCTCACGGACTTATTCAGAACTACCGTGTAATGGATTCAGGTTAGGTCGCTCCATAAACAATGGTTTAGAATATAAATGTTATTTCTTTTATTTAACTCCGAAGGAAAATATTGTGAAGCAATCGACATAAAAGGTGTCATAAGGACTTTTTAAAGAGACAGAATCAACATAAAAGGTGTCATACGGACTTTTTAAAGAGACATAGAATCAACAATCCGTGTCTAAGCATTTTGTTTTTTCGCTATACTAAATGACGGTACGAACAAGTCGCGCGCCTGGTGGTAAGCGACACGCCTGTCCATAGCAGTTGCTGTGCCATTCAGAGCTTCGCAAACATCTGAGAGATACAACCATCGCGCCCGTAACCCTGAGACCAAAATTGACAAGTCCCATGGGCCTGTAATTTCAGTAATGCTCACATTACTGCTTGGCGCCAGAAATAGGTAAGGTAGTACTTCCCTGGACGAACTATTCCACAAGGAGTTCTAATGCTGTTAGCTACTGCGACTGTGTGAGTTTCCAAATTGTTTTCACATGCCTGTGTCTCAATGGTGTAGACAGAGATAACCTCTGCTTGTTACGCTCTTGATTCACTGTCAATATCTTCCAGCCGCATAAATCTTTTCATACACGCCAATTTAGTCCGGATACTTTTGACATGGCCCTTTTTAAGGACGTTACACTGGTTGAGATATGTAGGCCGAGGTCGATCTATCTACGTGTTCCTGTCCGTTAATCTTTTACCATTCATCTTTTTCTTCAATAATCTAACCGCAAAAACCTAATAAAATGTGGGATAATATTATTTGGTCCTGAAAGTTATAAATCGATCTTATTGTAAATGTGCGCGTGTAATATATATATATATATATGACATTTATAACCAATATATCTTTTGATATTCAATAACTAATGAATCTTGGTTGCTTGGTTGGTTGGTTGCGCCCTCCGTTCAGTAGGTTAGGTTAGGTTAGAATATAAAAAAGTAGCACGAGCCGAGCGAGAAACCAATTTACGTGGTTTCCGAACATGTTTTCAGGTAAAATTCTTTATAATTAATATAATATTAGCATATAAATATATTCAATTATCTTAGTTTTAAAAATAAGTATCTAAATTTTATTTTTAATTCTCATTTGTCTTAGTTTTCAGGTTAAAAAAAATTTATCGAAGTTAAATCAAAAAATTTTTGCGTAGCTCAAAACAAATTAAAATATCCATTGATTTAATTAATTTTATATCTCAGAGAAAAATAAGGATCAATTATTAACAAAGATGACCGTTTGGATTATTTTGCCTGTTGCTTTTGCAAATTTCAAATGATCGTTTAATATGCCTTAATACATAAACATGCCTCAGTCTCGTTGGTTTAATATAGTTAACTTGTAACATCTCAATAGACGTCAAACTTGTAAATAATGCAACATAACTAAGTTCACAGAATACTTGGATTGGCGTTAATAAGTAATGATATAGGTGTATGGGGAGCAACTTAAGGTTTGCTTAGTTAGCGCTTGCTATGTTATCTTATGTCATATTTAAGTTTGTAGTACCAAAGTTTGTGAGCATATTGTGTATGTACTATGTATAGTTTACGTATGACTATTATGTTAATTAATTGACGGAAAGTAACGTCAATGTTGTTAATTGAAGAATTAGGGAATTTTAAATAATAATAAATTTCTGAAGTTCTTGTTGATGTGAAGAAAAAATATGCACTTTACAGCTTTGAGTTAATGTACATAATTGAAATTGGTAATAATATTTAAAGGCGACACTTCGAAAATGAATCGTAGTAGATAAGAGAGGGAATGAACAGTTTATCTAGCAAGTAATTTCCTATTACAAACAAGTGGGATAGCAACAGTTCTTGCAATTTTTGACAAGTTCGAAACCAAAAAAAGTGAAAAACCAAAAAAGTACAGGAGGTTTTCGACGACTCTGTAACTGGACCCGTAGATCACATGGTTAGAGCAATGCTACGGTGCAGCATGGACGTACGTCCATGCGTTCAAGTCCCACGGGATCGACGAAATTTTTCTGTTTGATTTTTGTTTTCATACGTAGGGCGCACTATAAGTTTCCGGAACTGGCCATTTACATAAACAATATTTATAAAGTAATTACAACATTTGAAAATGGAACTCTTTGCCTGTAGAATACTGTTTGTTTCATCTGACTGTCACTTGTTTTTACTTTGTGGTTAATAACGCCACCACCATGCGCCCTGGCTGGATCCGCACCCTGGGACTTCGAGGCGTCCGTCCTCGAGCAGACCTACAGGTGCCGTGCGGAAGCCAGGGCACGGTGGGGGTTCGGCGTGCCGCCAAGACCGCCGTCCAGGCGGGGTGGGAGGAGGCACTGCGATCGGCCAGATACGGGGAGCGCACCGTCCAAGCGCTGCTCATTGTACTGGCCGATTGGAGAAAGAGGAGGCACGGGTCCCTCATGTACCGTCTTGTTCAGGTACTCACCGGACCAACGGCTGTTTCGGTGACTACCTGACCCCGGAGTGTCACGAGTGCGGCGCTGCTACAGACTCGGCGAGGCACACTTTGAAGGTATGCTCGATCTGGAGCCAGCAGCACCGGGATCTCGTAGAGGTGGTGGGACGAGACCTCTCACTGCCCAGCATAGTTAGAGCCATGCTGGGAAGCGAGAAGTCATGGCAGACGATGGTCTCCTTCTGCGAGGACGTGATGTCGCAGAAGGAGACAACCGAACGGGTCCGCGAAGACAGCGCCCTCTCAGACTCCGTTCGGCGTCGGCGGAGAGGACGCACGCGACGGCTCTTCGCCGACCACCCGCGTCCCATCAGCGGAGGCCAGCAGGGTGCGGGGTTGGAAGACCCTGCCCCTGCATTGCACAGGCCTCCGCCGCCGGTAGATGCGCCAAATGTTCCGGGGTATCTCCGTGCAGGTCGCCCCCTATGATTAAGGGGAGGATGGTGTAGGGGTCCGCCCAAAGACGGACCAGCACCACCGGAGTCGCGCTAGGATCTGAAAGGGACCCCGCGGCACCGGCGCCAGGTGCGCGCAGGAACATTGTGACGTTTTTAGTGGGTATGCTCTTGGGGATCGACATAGTCCCCAGGAGAGAGTCCCACATATCCCCGCCGTCTCCCAGCGGCGGGGAATGCGTAACGCATTTTCCTCACGTTAATTTTAAAAAAAAGGTTAGGTTACGTTAGGTTAGGTTTAAAAAAAAAATAATTCATCTTAAAATGACTACTACAGCTACTACTACAGTCAATAAATAAATTTTATTATTTATTGAGATTTTTTGTGAAATAACTCCACTAGTTTCATTAAGATTACGAGGGGCGCACTATAAGTTTCCGGAGTGAATAAGAAAAAAATACTATAAATGATCAGAAATGAATTTATTGTTTCTCAAAATATTCTCCGTTAGCGTTAATGCACTTTTTCATACGAATGAACCAATTTTGAAAACATTTGTTCCACTCCTCCGTGACAATCTCTGAAACATATTTTTGATACTCTTCGACAGCCTCTTCAGGTGATGAAAATCGTTGACCGCGTAACGAGATCTTAATTTTTGGAAATAAATAAAAGTCGCAAGCTGACAGGTCGAGACTGTACGCGAGATGGTTCATAAGGTCAACGTTGTTCACCTTCAAAAATTCATTTCTCTGTCTGGCTGTGTGAGAACAGGCATTATAAAGGCAGGCATTATAGGCATTATAAAGTTTATTCTTGGTACAACGATTCTCCAAAGCAACAGTAGCCACTTGTCCAGATTTATTTAAAAAAAGCAATCATCCGCTTAGAGGCACTTTGCACGGGCGCCACTTTGGTTGGTTTCGGCTCATCTCGAAAGACCCATACGCTCGATTGCTGCTTTGTTTTGAGATCGTAACTATAATAAATCCATGTTTCGTCACCTGTTACTATGTCCCACACCAATTTTGACGCCCCTTCGTTGAATCTGGTAAGCATGGCATTGCACCCAGTGACGCGATCCGTTTTTTTGAGCCTCTGTTAAATTGAATGGGGTCCACCGAGAGCACAGCTTTTTCACGCCCAAATGTTTGTGTAGTATTGTTGCCTAAAGATGTCCGAATCTTATGGTATGTCATATGCCTGTCTATTTTGATTATACGGCGCACAGCATCGATGTTTTTGTTGATCACAGTAGTGGACGGGCGACCATCACGAAATTCGTTACTGAGATTCACACGACCGCGTTTGAATTCTGCAAAACAGCTATAAATAGTCGTCTTGCAAGGTGCTTCATCGCCAAAAGCAGTTTGAAGCCAAGAGAAGCTCCGCTGAGCTGTTAAATTACACCTAGAAAATCATACTACGAAAATTTTCGCGAGTTAATAACGCCACAAAGTAAAAACAAGTGACAGTCAGATGAAACAAACAGTATTCTACAGCCAAAGAGTTCCATTTTCAAATGTTGTAATTACTTTATAAATATTGTTTATTTAAATGGCCAGTTCCGGAAACTTATAGTGCGCCCTACGTATGAAAACAAAAATCAAACATAGAAAAATTTCGTCGATCCCGTGGGACTTGAACGCATAGACGTACGTCCATGCTGCACCGTAGCATTGCTCTAACCATGTGATCCACGGGTCCAGTTACAGAGTCGTCGAAAACCTCCTAAGCCTTTTTGTTATAGATCTTTGTACTGACTTTCGTTCCGCATTCGTCGCTGCTAGTGACATCTAGTGAGAAATGTTTAAATAACCTTCTCACCTATTTTATTACTTGTATTTATTATCTACTGTTTTTTCTGTAGGCGTATCAACCTAATCTAGACATTAAGTTTGTAAGTCTAATAATATCATTGGACTTATTTTATAATCGATTATTATTTTATTATTATCGTATATCTAAGTTTGTAGATAAGTTCAATTCTATTTTAGTACTTAATCCTATCAACAAAAATGTAACTAACCTAATCGGATTTTTTCTAATACAGTTATCAGGTGAAATGCTCAAGGTACACATATTTTAAAATCAAACCTACAATGGACTCTTTTTTTAAATAAATGTATTAAAAAGTAGTAGATTTCACGGGGTATCCCCTTAAGTTGTAGAAGCTACTTTTTTAACAAAATGAATATCTTTAGTAATAAAACAAAAATTAATATAAAAAAAAAAATTCATGAATATAATTTCAAAATATAAACGATTTGCATCATTTAAATTCAAATTAAGCGAAATTTAACCAAAAAGACAAGACAACAAAGACATAAAGCCAGTGACGTGTAATCTAGACTCTTTTGTGTGTGTTCTTCCTTTTTTTTAATTTCCCTCGGCCACAAACGTTGAAACTCGAAGCTCCTCACAAGTGCGGGAAACAAGTAACAAATTACAATCCTGAGAGCGCAATAGTTATATATAAAATCTGGGCAGTACATAAACAGGTCCCAGGTTCGCCGGCCGGTTGAACTAATTTAGGAAACGATTAAATTATAAATTAGTTAATAACGCACACGCTCATAGCCCTGCACTAGGGAAAGCCTGGGGGCCTACCATAACCTTTCCAAAAATAACCTCATTTCAATGTACGCTTATTATAAATATTACTCATATTCGTACCGTGATACACCTGTCAAGAAAGTAATGTATTATTGCTATTTAAAGTGATTGAAAGAACTAATTATTTCCCAATATTGTCCATTCCTTACTAAAAATAGGAAATAGGACAACCGACCATTATGTTCACGTCTCACCAACACATCCAAGAAAGGAAGAGCCCCGTTCGGCTCACATTCCACGGTGAAGGTGATTTTCGGGTGAACGCTGTTTAAGTGTGCCAATAGCGACTCTACTCCCTCTTTAGGCATAATGGCAAATACGTCATCTACTTAGCGCCACCACCTCGGTTCGAATGGAATGTTCACCAGCGCAGTATCCTCAAACCATTCCATAAATATGTTAGCTACCACCGGAGCTATCGGTGATCCCACTGTGGGTCCCCGGTGTCTATACGGTTCCCTGTGACTGCGGCAAGAGTTACGTCGGCGAAACGATACGGACCGTGGCTACTAGGCTAGCTGAGCATATCCGATCCATGAATAACAAAGATGTCGATGGATCTGCTGGGGCAGACCACTTTCTGAGCTCCGGTGCTGGTCACTACATTAGGTTTGATAAAGCTAAGGTTTTAGCGCGGGAGAAGTATTTTGTGCCTCGCAAAATCCGAGAGGCTGTTGAAATAAGTAGGCGACCAAATTTGAATAGAGACGGAGGCTGGAGCTTGCCACCGACCTGGAAGCCGTGTCTTCATGGCGCTCGGTATGCAGCTGCAGATGTTAGTGGTAACGACGTGATGAGCTCTGTGTGCTGGACTGTTCCCGACAACAATCCTACGGACAGTAGTAGCAAAGAAGAGTTCCGGGACGCTCTGGCGCATTGTATCAGCCTCCTGAGTTCCCCACTGCGGACTGCGTCATCGGCGCGCGCGCAGAGAGCCGCAGCACGCAGTGCTAGACGTGACGCGGTCGCGTGACGCGTGACGCGGTCGCGTCACGTCTAGCACTGACCATCGATTATGGTCGAAACTAGTCGAACCGCTTCCGACTAAAATACTACACGAGTAACTGTGTAAGTGTGATAACTGTGTTAGTTTTCATAATAAAAAGAGCTATATGATTTTAATGTTAAAGACGCGTCATAGTAGGAGCTGAGTGAATGAATAGTCACAAAGCTGCCAATAAAACATCATAGTTTTAACATTATATTAAGCTTACTTTAAGCGCGTTATGGTACAAAAAGTCAATGTACGGTTAAAGTAATATTGTTTTAAGAGGTTGTGGTAGGCTCGCTGTATCGTGGGTGCCATGAACACACACAAAGACAACCACAAATTACACCCAAACTCACGAGATAAATAAATGTAGGTCGTTGAAATACTTCACCCGGGCTGGAGAATCGAACCCAGGACCTCTACGTGGCAGACCAGTATGGTAGCCGTTTAGCCACGGAGACATTTAAATTGGTATTAAGGGTATTAATTACCATATATCTATTTGCTAATCGTTGTAATTAACATGAAGAAAATTTTTAAGGGCAACATTGGATTCAATAGACAAGCGTGTCAAGAGGCAACACCGCCGTAGAATCGCCAGCTTATCGGTATGCCACAAGATATATCATGGAGAGTGTGCAATGGAATTGCATAATTTGATCCTTCCCCTTTTCATCATAGGGAAGACTAGATGTGGACTCAGGTTCCAGCCCTATATTGTGGATATTCCCAGGATATGCGCGCAGCGAGCGGCTAAGGAGCGAAATTCCCTGTCTGCGGACTTTTTCCCCAAACGCTATAACTTGGATGTTTTCAAGGCGAGAGTAAATAGGTATTATTTAGGTGTGCATGCTATATCGTCGACCTTATCGTTACTTTCCAACAGGCGAGATGTAGGTGAAATGCGCCCTTATTTTTATTTAAAAAGAAATACTTTTTTTTGTTTTCAAGTATCGGGA